CTGTTTTATTAGAACTTTATGAAGATTCTTCCAATGTTTTTTTTTTAATCACGTAGCTTTTAACATCGTATCCTAATGAGAACAACGAAACGGCTTTGCGTTCTTCATTCACACACAGGCGATACGCAGGCCGACGGCTGCCATTCAACGTTTACCTATACAAGATGTAATTAACCATACGAATGCAACTGGTCGCCAACCGTCGTAAAACGGACTCTTAATCGGTTTCCCTGGCTAGTCGTTTGAAGTATCATAAAATACTTATCAGAAGGAGAACCATTCGACGATACTCGTAATTATCGACTGGTTTCCCTCCTTGGATTTTCCTGTTGGCATGAGCTTCGAAATCGCGAAACAATTACGGAAGAGGAGAAATGTCATTGTTCTTGGAAGGAGAATCATTTGCATTCGTGTTCACACCTCGAACGATCCGCAGACCACACCGGAAACAACGAGTAACAGGTTGAAGGAACGACGAACGATGAATTTCGAGGAGAGAACCATCTTCAGAGGCGCTCATCTCTCCGTGGTAAGCAGGGTTTACGCGCCACCCGCGAAGGGACGTTCATTTCTTCAAGATCGTGAGCTCGTCTGTTGATCAAATTGTGTACTCTTCTTCTTCGGATTATTAATCCACGAATCTTAGTAACGATCCCCCAGAAAATCATCTATCCGAATAGAGGGGACGTGCTCGCGATCTTCGAGTTCCAATCATCCCCTGGCGGGTGGCGAAAATGCGGCGAGGTCCGACAATATGTTTTGTACATAATTTGCGTGTCTGTCGCAGCGTCATACATATCCGTGTCCCGGGGTACATACGTCTGTACATAAGAAAACAAAACGCGAAGGTGTCGAATCAACGAGAATACGAGGGATGCTCGTTCCTCGTCAACGAAACCTTCGATGATTGTATTGAAATTAGTTAATTGTAGTAGCTACTCGAACCAAAGGTGTCGTCTCTCGCGTATGTGCGCATAGCGAACAACAAACTGAAGTATAAATGAAGATCAACTCCAAAGGGGTGAACGAGAGGATGCGCTCTCGTATTCTCGGCGAAACACAATTCTTGCACAGACACGAGAATTAGGATTTTGTAGATACGTACGTACGTGTACATACAATTATACATATATATATACATATAAGCTACACACGAATCGTTATACGTTTAGGAGAGTGAATTTCTCGCTCGTAGCTTGACAGTTCGTTTGCTCTTGGATATTTTTGAAATATCAATTTCACACGAGGCTATGACGCGAGCTTTAAACGCGAACTGTGATCCTACCAGCTGGAAAAATATTGACTCTTCGAGGTGGTGAACTCCCGGTGATTAATTAAGGGCTATGATAGACGACGACTGACGATGAATTACGTTTCATGAGAATCGCGATGAGATACGTGTTACACGCATGGGAGTTAAATAACGTAATCGCCGTATACTAAGAATCATGGATATACGTATAAATATATTATATATTATATACAGGTGTGTAGGTGCGCATCCGACATGTACAGAGGTGGTGAAAAGAACATAGAAAACACGGCTGGTGAAACGATCGTATGCATGTATAAATATACATAAATGTATAAAGTGAACGTGTTGTAAATAATAGGAAGAACCGATAGGAAACGGCGATTAACGAATCAGCGACGGATTTACTCACCGTGACGATCGTTTCTTATTATTGCGATGATTAAGTAATCATTAATCGTAAGATACCGTTGGGCAACGCTATCACTTGATGATCGTAAGCGGAACGGTTCGAGCACCGAGCAGAACACAGGTTTTGAACGCTTGATTTGGTTGGTGCCTGAACTTCTTCTCTTTTATGATCTGCAACGTCAACATTTTTTCCATTTGATGAACATACGGCGTCGAGCGTGTGTGTTAATACGTTCTGTGTCGCGTGGGCCACCGGTGGCCCACGACGTTTATCAAATGTATCTCTGTAATTAAGTCATTATAAATTTGATTCTTCAATCTGTCTTTTATTAAATTTTTAAAAATCTGAAACTTCTCAGTGGCACAGAACGTGTTGATCGATGTATGTATATATATTTGATATTATATTATATGTAATTTTTCTACGGAAGCCACGTCGACGTAACGCGATATGCTACAATATATTTTCCATATTCTGGTGTATCGTGACCGCGCTGTTATATATAATATAATATAACATGTGTATGTATGTATGCATGTACGTATGTATGTAAACGTTGTACGAGACGAGATCTCATATCCATCACGCGCGTCCTTTCGTTTTCGATCACAGTTCCATCTCCATTTAATCATCCCTCATATTTTCACCCTACCATCCTATTCTACAATCTCAAACGTAACCCCTCACATAATCTCTGCCCCTGTTTCGTTTTACTTTGAACATTAACTTCCAGAGTCGTGGACCAAGCTGTAGCGAAGCAAAAGCGCGAATGAGAGAGAAAGAGCGAGAGAGATCTTTGCGAAAAAAAAAAAGAGTTCCTAGTGCACCCGGTTCGAGTGCGTTGTGTAGAAGTTTTTATAGATTAAAATGAACGATCGAGCGAGGAGGAAAGAAAAAGGGGTGAACGTGATTAGGAGAGACACAGAGCAGAGAAAGGGACACTCGCGATTTCCTTGTCCTTCGTTTTTCCTTTTTTCTTTGACTTCTTCTTTCCGTTCGTCGAAGGTGTACAGTATGGTATATTTTATTTTTATTTTGTAGATAGAAGAAAGAAATTAGAATCGAAACCCCTGGTCCCCACCCTCTGATCGACGTGTCATTGGTTCATTTTACCGTGGGCCTCGACGAGCCAGCGCATTCCGCGAGCGATAGACACATTATCACAGTGATTATTATTATTATTAATTATTGATTATTATTATTATTATTATTATTATTATTAATTATTAATTATTATTATTTCATTATATTTTAACTTTTATTATTTGAAAATAAAAGTGCTAGACAGACTTCAGTTATTTATGTTCCTTTGATTTCTTTCTGTCTGCTTTTTTATTTCCTCTTTTCATTGTTTTATTCATCCCTCTTTTGTAGACACGAAAATCCGCGAGATTTTTACTCCTACCGTCCCATCGTGTTTTTTCTTTTTTTTTTTTTTCTGTAAATATCTGCACAAAATAATGTAAGAAAAGTCACGCAAGGTGCTGCGTCATTTTTCACGATGGCAGTACAGCGTACAAAGACGAACGGTACCAAAATGGTCGGTATACCAAACTTAGTCGACTAATCCAATCAATAGAGATGTATAATCGTTTTCAAAGAGGCGTCTAGCGTTAATGTAGGAGCCTATTAACGATTCGATGTGTAAACTCGTAAATAATGGGAGGTAACGTTATCTATTTAAGGAAGGAGTACCATTTTAAAGGTAAAAAAAAAATACATTATAAACGACGAAAAGTGGTAATCGTTAGGTGATAAACGACAAACGAAAGAAAATGAAAAAAAGAGCACGGTATGACAGTTCTTAAAAGGGTAAACGAAATAATAGTAGAAGAGGTCATATGATCGCGGGATAAGGTCCTCGTTCGATGACAAGAATCGTGTAAACTATTTTGTACCGAGAATTAGAGGCATGCTCGCGATATTCGTGATCTTTTTATCACGTTCACGTGTATCCGTGAACGTTTCTATCGCGGATTAGGGATAAATTAATTTAAAAAAAAAAAAAAAAAGAAGTGCGTTTCTGACGTCCGCCCTCCATGATCCCCTTGGATCTTCCGGGGATTCACCGGAAGCTAAAGTGTGTGTGATTGCGCGCGTGAAAGAGAGGGAGAGGTAGAGAAAAAAGAGAGCGTGAATGTGAACGTGCGGCGATGGAGCTGTATAAATAAAGTCATATCAATCTGGAATAGTTCATGTTATCTAGGATACACTATTACTACGATCATTATCACAATATGATTAGTAAGAATATTGTAATTGTATAATAAACTGCGTCATAGATATATATCATCGGCGTTGATTCTGTCGAGCACAACCCTGTTTTAAGAGCAAAGTTGCGTCAAAGGAAAATAGGAAATAATGGAACCTCTCGGTTGAGATTTCATGACCTTTATAGGAATGACTATACGATATTTCCCATAACGTTCCAATTTATTGAAAAAAAATATAATATACAATTTGAAATAAAAGTGTAGTTATAAGTAGAATGATGACTTTTTTGCACCAAAAATTGTATTAACATATATGTTGTATATATAAAGCGCAAAGACGTCCATCCGTGTCACTTTTCATCGGTGCTTCGGGGTCCCTGACACCCCAAGATGATATTAGGTTGGTATGCAGAGAGCGCCACCGATGCATCGGGGTCCCCGGCACCCCGGATGCCATAATGTCGATATGCAGAGCATCATCGGTGCTTCGGGGTCCCTAACACCCCAAGCCATCAGCTATTCCGCCATCTATATAAAAGCGGCGCAAACTATTCGTTAACTTACCGACTGCCGAAGGGTCGATTACCGACTGTCGAAAGTTCAGTCGATAAGTCGGTAATTTATTGAGTAGTTTCCGCCGCTTTTGTATAGATGGCGCTGTGGTCGAAGTTTTGTAGGGAGTCGTCTCCCACTTTCCGCAGTCGGCGGAGTGGGGAGATCGACCAGCATGACTGAAACTCTGAAACTGCGAGAGAGTTCGTTACCGACCGTCAAGCTGCGAGGACCGCGTTCATGGGAACGCCAATATAACACGCAATAAAGTCAAGTACGATAGTTCTAACCGGAACAACCGTTACATTTATTCTCACCCGCTGCAGGTTCCCACAGTTTAAAAATACTTCATTCTAGGCGGTCTTCTCAAAATATAAGTTTGTCAAATATTCTAATAATTTTTCAGTCGAAAAAGTGAAGCGGGGCTCATAAGAAAGGACAAAATAATAAATAAAAGAGTTTTATTCCTCTTTGATGAGCTTGTAGCTGTATAAATACTAAAAAAAAGAAGGCTGGAATACTAATCACGAGATAAAATAAGTATAATTTATAGATAAATCATTGATTACACTTATTATGTTACAAAATATATTTATAAATTGCAAGAGCATTGTCATGCTTAAATCTATTTTCTTTTATAAAGCATCATTCGAAGCTTAACATACATCACGTGTTGATATAGTCTCTATCAAATTTAACTGCATGAATTATAATAACAATGAAGGAATATATTTTCTTCGAATTTATCCTCCTCGTGTTGCTTTTCATTGGACAGCTCGAAATAGTGTTGCGTCTTAACATTCGCGGTATCATTTTAAATATAGCGTATATCCCATTTTCATACAATAGGGGTATATTTGCAATCACAGTGCGGGCAATAATAGATTACACTTCAGTAGGGATTCTGTCCTTGGGGAGGATGTTGATTACCACCATAACGCGGTAAAGTCGCGAATCCGCCGTAAAGATTTGGTGGCATACCCTGATATGGATTATAACCTCCTAAGAATAGAACAATGAATATAACATACATAAATATCGACACATTACAAAGTCCAGAAATGATCATGCATTTTCTTTAATCACCTTGTGCTGGATAAGGCATTGTTGCGTATGGGTTATACGTTGCAGGCATAGGGGGAGGCATGTATGTCGGATACGGTGTAGCGGGACCAGCTCCATATGGTACAGGCATTCCACCTTGGAAATGAGTAGGATAGGGTAATTGTGAGGAACCACTTTGTTCTGCTCCAGATTGACTTTGTTGTCCGGATGTTCCTAAACAGATTTTCAATTGAAAATTAATTATACTGTCTCCAGGTCAGTAACACCCTGTTGAGTATATTATGTACCTCCGTGATGCGACGGAATAGTAGGAGTCGTAGCTGGGCCAGTATGGCTCAAATTTGTAGTCAAATCTTTTAGCAACTCTTCTTTTTCGGTTTTACGAGCGAAACAGAAATCTGATATTTTATTTTGGAAGACCACCAACAGCTATAAAAAGGAAAATTACACGCTGTTTTGACAAGAACAAAATAGCAATGAATAAAAATATAATTGACATTTACCTGCGTTAGGTCGTTGTAGAATTTAATACCTTCATTCAAGTTGTCTTTAAGTTCTTTGAACGAATCATAAGCAGCTGCTAGTTTACATAACATTGCCTCTCTTGAACTACCACTACCAGATTGTTCTGCTGTAAATTCTGCGTGACACCTCTGTAAGTGTATTTTAAACAAGTGTCATGAATAATGTCTTATCGATGCAATATTATATTCAAGCATACCTGAATTTCAGCAATCAATTGTTCCTGTCGAGCAACGCTTTCTCTCACTTGCTTCTGTAAAGGTCCATACGTTTTTCCTATACTTTCCACAGATAAATTTGGTTCGTCAATTGCACCATCTTTAGCTAGCGCTGACAAGAACGTCGTTTTCATATCAGTAGTAGCAGACTTTAATTCACTTTCTATAACATCGCGTTCTGCTTTTAAAGTTTCAACCTTTAGAAAAATGATATGATAATTCAATTTGACTGATATAATGTAAAAATAAATGTTAAGTATATATAAAATGCTTACATCTTCCATTAATTTTCTAAGTTTAGCAACAATGTTGCTTTCTTGAACTGCTGATCCAGCTGGCACAACATTGATTAAGTCACCTTCGGTCGAGCTTAAAATTTCCATGCCTTCTCTTTGGTTTTCATATTTTTCACGCACAACCTGTGAAATATCGTAGTTATTTCGAGAAAACTTTACGCAAAGTCACGTATATATTTACCTTGTCAGCTGTTACAGCATTGTTGATAATTTCACGATATTTCCGTAAATTAACGGTAAACTGCTCTGTCAAACGAGCACTAGGTATTCTTGTCCATCGTTCTTTGAATTGTTCTCTTAATTGATCATCAGATTCTCGTTCTTCTTGAAGAATCCGTTCACACTACGAAAGTAACACCAATTTAGTAATTATGTCAATAAATAATTACAAGTTTTATTTATTTACCTCGTCTAATAGTTCTTTATTTCGTTGTAAAAGATCGGGTAACTCTTTCATATAACTTTCCAAAGCTTTAATTCCACCTGCTTCTTTTACATACTGAGCTTTTTCTAATAAAGATTGAGGTAATTCTACTCCGCTTGTATCTTCGATGGCCGCTGGTAAATTTAAACTTGCCAAAACGCTATTCAATACTTGTGTCATTTCACGTAATTTAGATATTTCCGAATTAACTAATTCATTACGACGGACTTCATAAGAGGATAATGCTTGATGCACACTAACAGGCAGTAAATCGGCAAAAAGATCTAGAAATATAAAAAATGTAAATGAGAGGCAATTGTATCGAAATAAATTACAATTCAATAAGCATATTTTTATATGTAACAAACCTTTAAAATTCGAGCTAAAGACCTCTGGCAGTGGTAACAATTTTGCCACACTTGCTTTACCAATATGTTCCAAAGCTTTTACATCGGGTACTCTCTCGTGATAAATAAAATCATTGTCTTTCTTTACCTCCGTATAATTTCTTTGAGCTCTATTAGCATAATCTTGGAACAAACTAGGTTTATTTGAACGTTGTTGAGCAGCTTTGAATAATTCCACAGCATGCTAAAGATATATGTATATTTCAAATATATAATTATACATATTTATAGGAAAATAATTAAAGTTTACCTCTAGTCTAGCAATTTCTTCTCCAATAACCTTATTACTTTTGCATACCAGTGACTGATAAAATTCAGCCATTGCACGATATCCAGCTTGTTTCCCTGCAATCTATGTTAATATAATAAGTATAATTATTCAACATACATATTACATACAGTTCCTATAAAAATCAAACGAAATGTACATACTAAAGGAACCCACTCCTTATCCCAAAATGCTCTGAAAATCTCCTTTTGGAATAACTTTAATGCATCCGCATATAGTTCCTCAGCTTGTGAAGCTAATTTAGCAACAATTCCATCTTTCATTGCATCATGAATTGCTTTATGTACAAATATTTCTTGTGCTTGAGCAAGCATTAAAGCAGATAATGCACCTAATGTTTCTGGACTGATATCTGGTGTAGGCTCATGTTGAATAGCCATCATAACATTTCCTTTGAGATAATTATAGATACCAGCAGCTTGCTAATTACATAACATAAATATTAATGATCAAATCATTATTTCATACAATTATTTTGACAAATTCAAGTACTAACTTGAAATAATTTTGCAGCCAATTTTAAGCCTTCATCGCTCTCTAAAGATTGTGTTGCTGCTATTGAGCTTTGTAAAGCAGCAATATTAAATAATACACATACTTTTTCATATCCTAATGTGCTAATGGCTGAAAGAATCAAATATTACAAATGAATCTAATATCACCAAAAATGTGACTCAGACTTTATCTTATCTGCTACCTATTCATTAATCAGTCCACAACTTAAAAAGATTACTTTTTGTTTTTAATATGAATACTTAAAAAAAGTACATTAAAAGACCTTACTTAAACTAAGTTTTCCACCAAATATAGTGTGATCAAATGCATCTTTCCACTTGAATGGAATTTGTAATTCATGAGCAGGTATTTTACCCTCTAATGCACATAGTTGATCATAATAGCTGAAAGTAATAAAAATAGTTTTAAATTTTGTTTTAGAATAGTGATTTAAAATAAGAATGAAACGAATGAAACATGCAATAAAAATATACATTTTTCAGGATGTCATCATAATTAAAATTGAAATAATTATTAAACATGACTCATACCTGTATATAACCTCCAAGGAACTTTCATACTTCTCGAAAGCTCTCCACAAAGCATTGTTTCGTAGTTTATTAAAATCATTTATTGCCTCTGTATAATCCTTTTGATTGCTTGCGCTATTATATGTTGATTTAATAACATTTGTAAGTGGTTTAATGACATCAACGTCACACGGTTTTTTCAACGGTACCGCAATTAGCTCAGCCATTTTGACGTATGAACCAAGTCGACTACTTCAATGCACGGATAACAAAGTTGCTGCATGTAGTAGTAGACAAGGTACGGGCAAAAACGAGATATAGAGGTATGGGATAGACCGCCCACTAACGCATTTTTATCCCACACAATTCAGGGGACTCTACAGCCCCTTTATTTCTTCTATCTTATTTTAAAATTATCAAACTAAACTTCGTTTTAATAAACATTCTGTAGTGCATGCAATTTTTCATGCGTTGGTTTTTGAGATATTTGCTTAGCGCTCTTGACTATAAAAGTATTTTTATACATTTATTTTTCACGTAAGCAAGCATATGAATTATTTTAATTTTATAGCAATGCGTACTCTGAAACCAATGCTGCTGACATTATCTAATGGAGAGAAGAGAAATCAACGGAATATAATTGATTTGTAATTATAGTACACATTCGCGCCGTACAGGTGCATGTTTTCTTTAATAATGAACTAGTTCAGACATGTCGCTGTGTGTCATTAACAATCTGCGTCATCTACAGATATTTACAAATGAGATTTTTTATAAGTGTTTTTGGTAAAGCTGTAAGTTTGTTCTGTTGTATGTGATTTGTATAATTGGGGTGAGAAAAGTGGCAAACAATTGTAAAGGAAAACAGGAAGATTAGGAGCAGTATGAATTTTACTTTATGATAAAGAGAAACAGATGTATTCACTTTCTCTTTCTCTCTCTCTCTCTCTCTCTCTCTCTCTCTTTCTTTCTCTCTCTATCTATACAAATTTTATTGAGACTTGTAAATAACATTCATTTACATACTCCCGTAAAAAATATGGACAAATTAATATAAATATGTTATAGTTGCATAGATCGTTTTCTTTTATCGCGGAGGTTTGTCCGTCCATATTAACTTGTGTGGAAAAAATACTATCGATTTCACCTTGAAATCATTGCATGAAATCTGGATTAATTTTTGTTATTTATTAATTATATACACGTAAGCATTTTGAACAAGACAATAGTAATATTATTATAAATTTATCATATCTGATGATTTATTGATTGCTTGTAGAATATAACATATGTGAACATTTGTTTCTCTTGTTGGTTATAGTGATCTGTATATTTGTTACTGTTTATTTATATGTGCTTTATTTACACAGGTTGATTCCAAATTATAACAATGAGTCTTATTGAAGGTGTTGGAGATGAAGTTACAAATTTTTTTATTATTGTAGTAGCCCTATTAATAGGGTGGCTTGCATGGTGTTCTACAAGTATTGCAGATCAACCATTAATACGCACAGTACTTATATTGCAACATAGAACACGCACACGTATCGCTGAACTTAGAGCTAATCAAGCTGCAAGCTCCTTCAGTAGGCCTCCAAATTTGGAGATGTCAGAAGAAGAATCAGTAGAACCAGTTGCTGATGACAGCAATGATATTTCACAAAATTGTCCAGAACCATCTGTCAGAGACACAAGTGGAAGGATTTCTCCAGAAACACAAAGAGCACCTGAAGCAACAGCTACAGAAGAAGTACTTATCGAGGCCATGGATTCATTTAATAATGATAATGCAAGTTTGTTGCAAAGGCAAACAAAAATAAACACTTCCAAAAAAACAAGTATATCAGAATCATGCACTGAATCTGTGGAAGCTGTACAACCAGAACCTGAAAATCTTTCAGGTAGCGATGCTAATGAAATAAGCATTAAGCTTAAGTTTATAAATGATGATCAAAAAGTAGTTACTGGTAGTCTTAAAGAGCTGCTTGGAGACTTTAAAAGGTTAATACTAATTAATAAGTATTCCATATTGAATCTACATTTACAAAAAAAATAATTTTTATGTTTTTCCTAGGAGACATTTTCAGATAGAACTTGAAGCCCAAAAATTGGTACGGTTAGTTTTTAATGGTCGAGTATTACAGCCTGATAGTCAAACATTGGAAAAATGCGGTTTGTATAACAACTGTGTAGTTCATTGTTTAGTACATCAACCGCGACCAAACCCTGTACCGTCACAAACATCGACATTAGACAATTCATCGTCGATCTATTTCAATCCTCAATCATTTTCCGACATACCTGTTGGTACACCAATTAGTTCAGTGCATAATGAATGGGATTTGAGTAGACTCTTTTTGAGTATTTTGACTCTCATGTTAGGTCTTGCTTGGTATTCTCGATACCATTATGCTCAACTGTTTACCACAACTACTACGCTTGCTCTGTATGCGCTCACTGCAATTTTTGCAATTTCGTTAGTTGGTAACTTTTTTCCCGATCAGGACAACATTAGAAATATTGAATGAATTTACAAAAATAAAGCACTTTAAGACATTACATTTTGAAATATGATTTTTTTTTTTTAATATCAATATATATTTTAACATAAAATCATTTCAACACGTTTGTTCGTGACATTAAAGAAGATGAAGAATGTAATTTTTACCACTTTATAAAACGACTTATTCGTGTAAAAAGTGAAATGTAGCTAGGTCATATGATTGCATTTTGATTAAAATGAATATGCATTGAGCTCAAAATTTTTATTTGTATATGTAGAAAACGAGTTTTCCTGGGTTATCGTAATTAAAGAAAATATGTATAATGTGACGTTAAATTTATATTAAAAGCGAGTTAATACTTATTCATTTAAATATATTTGTGATAAATACTGTTCATTTGTTGAATTAATAGATAATAAATATTATAAACGATAGTTGCAATGGTGCTGCATTACATTATTTTCAACAACTGATTTGTTTTATGTTTACATTTTTATAAATATTTAATTATATTTAAAAATTATATCATACAGATATAATGCAAAGCTATGTTAATCACTTTATTTTCATAATCTTCCAAAATTTATAATACCTAAGAGGATTCATTAATAAATTATAATTAATTTTTCAAGCACCATTACATGCATTGTTATAAAAAAATGAAAATTGTCAAAAATATGTATATATATATATTTATATAATTCATAAGGTATTATATAATCATAATTGTAATTTATTAGAAGATATACTTTATATTATTTCTAAACAAAGTTTCGTTACTATTTCAGACAATGATTCGTTATTACCACTGTAATACACTGTACTATAGTAGTTTGTAGAAAAATTGAAGTACGATTGGATGTGAAATAAACGGCTATTTATTCGATGTTTTCTTGCATTGATATACTTTGATTTAAGAATGATTTGATGTAAATAAAATATTTTTTATTGGAATTTAAAGAAATTAAAACATGAATTTAATAGGATAAAGATATATTTAAATACTGTACAATTTATAATAATATTTATTATTTAATTATATAAAAAGCTTGCAATTACATACTCTTTTCTTATAGAAAATTCAATTAACAACTTATAAAGTCTTTTATATAAAATAAATATTGTGAATAAAGTTGTCACATCAAAATTTGTATGTGGAAACGACTTCATGGCTTATAGAATACTTAATACAACCCTTAATTTATATTATGAGAAATCTAATTTCAATGTATACGAATAAAAAGAAATAAATAATAAATGAGAGGTGACTTCTTAAATAGAAGTTAATTTAATTTTAAGGTTTTCCCACACGATTCACTTAGTATTTTAGTCAAAGGCTCAGAAATATTTGGCTTATTAAAGAAAAGATTTAATCGTTGTTTTAGCATTGCATGATCTAAATTAAAACATCCTTTCGGATTTTCTAAAAGAATAGTACCTTTTCCTAAAGTGCCATTGATATTAATATATTTACAGACTGGATGTTTTAATACTGAAGCCGACTGAACTATAGCTGAACCAGCTTTTCTTACTTGAATTGTCTGTTTATGTAATGACGAGATATCTAATTCTATCGACATCGCTTTGTTATTAACATATAAATCATATGAACAATTATAAATACCAAATATTAATTCGATTTCGTTTCTCAACTGTTCATATGAAATAGGAACTAATGATTTAGGAGCTTCTAATAAAACAGTCCCTACATAACTGGTTGCACCAAATCTTGGTTGTATACCTATAAGTTCAACATTTACATACTTTAATAAAGGTTCTTCGTTTGTTTTATTATCAGTTTGAGATGTTTCACTTTTAACTAAAGCAAGTTTCATATCAATGCCTTTAATCTTTTGCATTTCTTCTATAATTATATTTGCGTTGCTCGGCATTTTTGACATGTCCTCTTGTGGAGTTTTAGACGCATTTTCAATAAATTCTTTATGAGTAATAATTACTTTTGCTAAATTGCTACTTTGATCTTTTATTTCATAATATGCAATTGCCTCATCTGATGGAACTAATTGGGCTTTCTTTCGTAGTTTTTGAACTCTATTAATCACTTCTCTTGCCACTCCTTCATTATGCATACTTTCGTCGGGTGTAACATCTAACAAAATTAAAATATTTCCTTCGCTATGAGCTTCATACTGTTTGGATAATTGTTCAGCTGCTGGACCAGTGAAACTAAACATCAGCCGTAAATCTTGCTCGCCCAACTTATGACCCTGAACAGTAATTTCTTTAGCTGCAACAAATGTTTGTAATTGTTCATCAGAAAGCTCTTTAATAGCCTGAGTAATAGACTTAAACTCTCCTTTAAGACGTGATCCAAGTACTTTGTGATCTGGTTCTGCTCTTAATTTAACACCATACTTCTCTTTATCTGTAGTAACTGTTAATTCCTTTACATTAAGTTCCTCAAGAATGTATGACTTTAAAGAAGTGATATCTTTCAATACTTCAGCATCTTGATGAATTACTACAACTTCTGGTAATGGATATTTAACAGGAATTGTTTTTCTATCTCTTACAACACGTCCTAATTCAATTACAGTTTGCATGTATGATACAGCTTTCTCGATATTTTCATCAATTAATTGTAAACAAGATTCTGGGATCATTTGGTAATGTACACTGTCCATGTTACTCTTAGATTGTGGTAGTACTTTCACTAAATATTGAAACATAAACTCCGTTAAAAATGGTGTAAATGGTGCATTTACACGTACCATTATGTAAAGAACGCAAAATAAAGTATTTAATGCTTGTTGACAATCAGTTACACCACCATCACCTTTTATACGCTTTCTGTTCATTCTTACATACCAGTTAGTAAGATTATCTATGTATTTTACTAGATGAGGTACCACTGTGTATAATCTGTAAGCTTGCATTTCATGTTTAACAAACTGCAGTAATGTTTGTGTAAAAGATAAGATCCATCTATCCATTATATTACTAGAAGATACATCTTTCGAATCATCATACATAAAAATAATTTTCTCTTCTCTTTCAAATCTTTCGATATTTTGCATTAAAAATCTGAAGGCATTATACCAAGGTAAGAATACATCTTTTATAACATCCCTTACTCCTTCTTCTTTAAAACGTAAATTTTCAGCTCTTACAACAGGCGAATTAATTAAGTACAAACGAAGAGCATCACCTCCATATTTATTAACAATTTCTATGGGATCTGGATAATTCTTTTTGCGTTTCGACATCTTTTGCCCATCGGATGCAAGTATCAAACCATTAGCAACAAGATTTTTAAATGGAGCTTTTCCAAAAAGAGCAGTAGATATGACTAAAAGAGTATAAAACCATCCACGAGTTTGATCAATACCTTCTGCAATAAAATCAGCCGGAAAACTTTCTTCAAATTCTTTTCGATGTTCGAAAGGGTAATGCATTTGTGCATATGGCATTGAACCCGATTCAAACCAACAATCAAATACCTCCGGTACACGCCTTAAAGGCGGATATCCTGCTCGACTCGACGGTATACTTAAATAATCTATACTTTCTCTATGAATATCTGTTATTTCTGTATTAGTCAGTTCCTGCAATTCTGCAATGCTTCCTACACATACAATTTCTTGTCCATCTTCTGAGATCCATAAAGGAATTGGATTACCCCAATAACGATTTCTACTAATGGCCCAATCACGAGCATCTCGTAACCAATTACCAAATCGTTTTTCTTTTACATATTCTGGTACCCAATAGGTAGTACTATTCGCTGCTATAAGTTTCTCTTTTATAGCTTCTACTCTAATAAACCATGAAGGTACAGCTTTATAAATTAATGGGGTATCAGATCTCCAACAATATGGATAACTATGTTTAACAGCACTATGATGAATTAATCTGTTGTGTACTTGGAGATACTTGATAATATCTTTATCAGCATCTTTCACATATTTTCCAATGAAGTCGGTAACAGGTTCTACAAAACGTCCGCAACTATCAATTGGACATACAATTTCTTGATCTTTTGTTATTACACCAGCTTCTAAACAACACCTGTAATCATCCTCTCCAAAATATGGAGCTTGATGTACTATACCTGTACCAGTCTCTGCAGTAACATAGGTATCATTTAATACCACAAAAGCACCTTTGTCTCTTAAGCTCAGAAAATATGGAAAAGGAGGTTTATATCTTTTTCCTTTCAAATCAGTTCCTTTCCTTTTACCTTGTACAGTATACAAATCTTTAGATTTGTATACAAGCTCTAAACTTGATTCTAATATAATATATACATTACCGGAAGAATGATCTTTAACTTCTACATATTCAAAATTAGGATTACAACAAAGTGCCATATTGCTGGGTAAGGTCCAAGGAGTAGTAGTCCAAGCTACAATTGAAACATTTGGCTCATCTTCTAATGGAAATGTTACAACTACAGAAGGATCAACAACATCTTTGTAATTTTGTCCTGATTCAAAATTAGATAGCGGTGTATTACAACCAGTAGAGAAAGGCATTACTTTAACACCTTGATACACAAGACCTTTGTTATATAATTCTTTAAAGATCCACCAAACAGTTTCCATATATGAAGGATACAATGTTTTATAATCATTTCTGAAATCTATCCACCTGCCAATTCTGCTCACAATTATTTCCCATTCTTTTGCATATTTCATTACAATGCTTCTACATTCCTTATTATAGTTTGTTATTCCCATTTTAGCAACATCATCAGGACCTCTTATATTCAAAGTTTTATCTATTTCATATTCGACAGGTAAACCATGAGTATCCCAACCAAATCTTCTCTCCACATGGTAGCCAGATTGATAAGCATACCTCGTTATAATGTCTTTTATTGTGCCTGCTAGAATGTGTCCATAATGAGGTAATCCCGTTGCAAAGGGTGGGCCATCATAAAATGAATATTTTGGTCTTCCTTTCGATTGTTTCAAACAAGTTTGAAAAGTATCAAGTTTCTTCCATAATTCCAGTATAATTTCTTCCTCCTTCGGAAAATTGATCGTCTCTGGTAATTTCTCCTTCATTTTCAAAATGATCTGATCGATTACTTTGCAAACCTTTTAGTACCAGCTGGTACATACACTGATATAATTATCAAATTCAAGTATCATGCGTCAAAGTCGCAGATTGCGAGTAGAGGTTAGAACTTAGAACTGTAAATTGATACACGTGTTTCTAACAACGTGAATGGGTCTTCTGGTTCAGAACCCCTAATACTGTGTCTAACCACCTATATATGTACATGAAGCTAG